ATCCTATGCCTTAGGACTGCAATTTCAAAACTTGTTTTGAAAGGCACAGATGTGGAAGTAAGTTTCCGTTACTGATTATATGTTCATACTAACACTGCCCCTCCTTTATAAAGCAGGCAGTATGTACTCCTCGGTAAAATTAAGCAACGCCAATTACAATAAATCATTGATCATTCGTAGTAACTTGCTTTTAGCTTTGCCAGGGAGTGTAGCATCCTTATTTTTGCCAACTTTGTGTGTTTTGGCCCTATTGCGCATTTGCTTCAACCTAATTCTCCTCTTGCCAAAGATTCTTTTTATGAAAAAGTACACATTGCAATTGTTGTACTCAACTTTTGATATTTTTTAATAAGAATCTCTTAAACTTACTTTTCACTTTATTTCATTATCTTTAATAGGCAGTTAAATGGTGTAAACAAAAAAACCACTCAACAACCCCCACAGCTTTCTCATTTTTGGATTCTTTTTTGTTTTCTGTAACCTCATAACTTAAACCCTAAAAGCAGTATTTTTACATGAAGTAGCTTGAAATTAAATGCAGGTGTCCATAAACAAAAGCAGGCAGATGATGTCTTTGCTGAAAAAGCCAATTACAAACTGTTCGTTGTGTTTATTTGCTTGTTTAGGCCAAAGAAAGTGATTTGTGCTCATTCAGCTCAGCAGATCTAAAGGATTTGTCATCCCATCAGTTGACTGAGTTCCTGGCACTGTTGCTACTGGAGGTAAGTGCAGGCTAGGAGTAGTTTGACCTAAGAATGCAAGCAAAGGCACAAATCTATTTTGTAAAACCAGGGAGTTCATACGTTGCCCAACAATTCTGAAGATCCTTATTCATCCTACTTAAATCATTTGCTGTTCTTTGGGACAGCCAGTAAGAGGTCTCCAAAACCCATTCTTCCTTGATTATTCACTTGATGAGTAACATCAGGAGACTTTCAGTCAAGGAGGCATAAACAAAATTTGAGACGTGATTGTGTTTATTTGAATTTAGCATTTATGTATTGGGTGACACAGCTTTGAATACAATTGTAACCAGTTTGGAGAGCTTAAGTGATACTGGGTCTGTACTAAAGTTTCACAGACTTAGGCTATGTCTATACTACGGACCTTGGTCTCCTGTGTAGCCACTCTATATTTTAAACCACCCCCGAGCGAGCGGGGAGAGCGTCTCCCACTGACATAGCACTGTCCACACCAGCGCTTTTGTCAGTGAAACTTATGTTGGTCAGGGGTGTCGTTATTTTTCACACTCTCACACACACATACCCCCGACTGACAAAAGTTTAGGCAACTAAAAGTGCTAGTGTAGACAAAGCCTTAGTAACTACCATAATTATCCCTTGCCCCTTCCTTAGTTAGGTGGAGTGGAGCAAAGGGAAGGAATATGCAAGCATTTACCAGTAGCCATCATTTTTTGTTAAATATTCTCTCCCTTGTAGTGAAAGTCTTCTTTCTAGGTCTTGCCTCCTCTCAGAGAACATCAGTTGAAATATACCTCTTACTCATTCTTCTAATTTTGCAACTTTTTTTTAGGCACCACTTCCAGTGTCACATGTAAAGCGAATGCAGGAAGTTTATAACTTCAATGCTGTAAACAATTCTGAAATAAGATTCAGGTTAGTAATAGTATGGAAATTGCTTCATGAAAAGTGTTTCATAAGGGAAAATACTACCTTATACACAATCTGAGAAGTTCCATTCTACAAAAACGTAATAGGACACACATGAATAATAATGACTTCTAGTAAATGTAATTTTTACATGTGCAGTGTTCCTTCGTACTAATTAATGATGAAATGGGAAAATGTATTCCAGTCTGAGATCCGAAATTAGCGATAACACCTCGGTCATCTAGTCTATTCCCCTGGCAGTGTGATTATTCCCTGTAGTAAAAGTCCTAATGCTTTGTCCACTTAACTTTAGATGTGCCTTTCCCCACAGGGTTCATGCTCTCTTTAAAGTAAACAATTATTAAAACTTAAATGGAAATTTAGGAAAACTATCAGAGGAAAATATTCCTTTTCTCCCATTAATTCTAGTTTATGCCTATCACCGTAAATTCCTTTGTATCTTGTATTTATACACCCTTAAAACATGTCTGTACTCCAAATTATGTTGTTGGAACTCTAAAAGCATATTTATTATTGGGATTGCCCAGTTTGCCATTGTAATAAACTTGCCACAAAGTGTTTTAATGGTTAGGGATTTTGTGTCTTGTCTCAGTGTACAGTAATCCTTTGCTATTTACCATTGACAAAACCTATATTGTTTAAGTTGCGAATGTAGTTCCCAATTCACATAATGATATTGAGTTCTATTACTTTTGCTTTATTTTTATATTTATAACAAAATAGATGAGCTTGTGGAAATAGACACTTACTGCTATGTAATGACTTCCCCCAAATATACAGCACCCTAATCAACAGGGCCCTGATCAGTGCCTTTGTGCATTATCGTAATACAAATAAATACATCATTATAAGAGAAATAATTGCAAAAGTCAGTGTGGGGAAACCCAGAGACCCAGTTGAGCTTCATTATGAACTTAAAGTACTTAGTATCTGAATGTCCTGTTGCATGTATGGTGGCATGACCCCTTCATTCTTAAGATGGAGTTAGGGAACACCATGTTGGATATTAGTAGTGGAAGATCACAAATTTTGAAAACTGCTACAAACAAAAATTGGCAGCCAACTTGGAGGAGAAATTCATCTTTAACTACATTTTTCAGATGGTTACGCCTCTGCATCCAAGCCAAGTGGGAAGAAGCCATTCCTCTGGCTCTAAAAATGGCTACAGAACAAGGCAGGATGAAGTTTACTCGTCCCTTGTTTAGGTAAGACTCACCTGCAGAACTTACAAATGAACATTTTTTTCTTTTATTATTTTTTATTGTGGACACTCCTATATAATACAGGCCATAGGACTCCTTTGAATTAATTCCTCTTTGAACTAGAGCAGACTTCTTAGGCTAGGTCTACACTACCCACCTGAATCGGCGGGTAGAAATCGACCTCTCGGGGATCGATTTATCGCGTCCCGTCGGGACGCGACAATCGATCCCCGAATCGACGCTCTTACTCCACCAGCGGAGGTGGGAGTAAGCGCCGTCGACAGGAAGCCGCAGAAGTTGATTTTGCTGCCGTCCTCACAGCGGGGTAAGTCGGCTGCGATACGTCGAATTCAGCTACGCTATTCACGTAGCTGAATTTGCGTATCTTAAATCGACTCCCCCCTGTAGTGTAGATGTACCCTTAGAAAAATAATCAAATCTGCATCCTTCTAAAGGAAGTGATTAACTATAAAACTTCTAGAGCACTTTGAACATGAATATTTCTATATTTCTATATTTGCAGAATAAATTGAAGTTCTTATATTGTATCAATTTTTTTAACATAAAAACCTAGCAAACATAGAGTGCAGAGTGGAAAGCCATTATATAGAGTATAATCTTAATATAAAATATTCAATGTAAGAATAAAACTTTCAGGTGAAAATCCATATTTAGACTAGTTTCTTATTTGTACTTATCTTGTGGAATATTTTGCAGGGACCTCTACAACTTCGAGAAGTCTTGTGATCAAGCTGTCAGCTCGTTCATGCAGCACAGAGCGCGCATGCACCCAGTGGCTGCAATGCTGGTGGCCAAAGACTTGAAAGTGGGTCAAGGACAGACTGCTTAATTTCTTTAAAAAGCTATGGCAAACTACTAAAACGGAACTGTAACTCTGCACATTATGCTAACATGCATGTTTGATTATCTATCTGACTTTGTTTTCTGCTACTGTGGCAATAATCTGGCTTAAATAGATCTTCAAGATGAAGTTTAAAAACTTCAGTCTTGTACATCGAATGAAATTTTAGAAAACTGATAAATCTTTGGGAGATGAATGAATAGCTCTAGTACAAACAAATTATACTTAAAGTAAAAGATGACTTTTCTGAGCTACATTTGTGTTTGTCAGTCGTGTGGGCTTTTTAACAAATTTTGGACGAAATCAAATGTTTTTTTCGTACACGCTTTCACACAGCAACACGCAGCTGAAGTCCTGAATCTTTAAATATTTGGGAAAAAAAATCTTTTTAATAAAACAGCCAACTTGTCTTGTCTTGTACAATCAACAAATATAGAAAGTAACAATAAAAATGTAATAATAAATAGCTTTTCCTTGCTGACTTCAAATATTCTGATTTCTAGAATAAACCTGGAAGAAAAGTTGAATGCACTTGGAACTTAAAAATCATGTTGTATAAACCTATGTTTTTACTTGTGTGCCCTAAATTACTTTAGTATCCAAACAATTTTGTTTCTCTTTCCACCCCTGATTTTTTAATGGTTTTGTTAATATGAGTTAAAGTATGACGAGTTACAGTACATACATTACAACAGTTACATATAGTAACAGCTGGAGCTGATTGTCAAAATTCAGTTTTTTGACAAAAAAGTTAGTCACAATATTTCAAGCTGAAATTTCAGCGCTAAACTTTCAGGCTTTGTGGCAGCTTCATAGCTGGCTTAAAATATTTTTGAAACATTTCAAAATGCTGAAAGAACAATTTAAATAAAAAAATTAATTGTCCTGTGTTCTGTTGGCTCACTGTATTTTATGTAAACAGTCCTGATATGGGCCCTTAATCAGTTAGGGATTTAAGCACATGAGTAGCCCCATTAACTTTACCTGGCTGCTCAGAGGGTGTCTGATAGCAGCCTTCAACTACCAGAAGAGGGGTTCCATAGAGGATGGAGCTCGGGTGTTCTCAGTGGTGACAGATGACAGAACAAGGAGTAATGGTCTCAAGTTGCAGTGGATGAAGTCTAGGGGCACTCTGCTTGATACCAGCTTCCAACTAGCCATCAAGCCATTGATCGCTACCCGATGAGCCCGATCATCTAGCCAGATTTCTATCCACCTTATAGTCCATTCATCCAATCCATACTTCTTTAACTTGCTGCCAAGAATACTGTGGGAGACTGTATCAAAAACTTTGCTAAAGTCAAGGTATATCACATCCACCACTTTCCCATGTCCACAGAGCCAGTTATCTCATCATAGAAGGCAATTTGGTTGGTCAGGCATGACTTGCCCTTGGTGAATACATGTTGACTGTTCCTGATCATCAATTCAAGTCGTAGTTAGAAACTTTTGAATTAATTTGATAGAAGGCACTCAAACTGAAAGCGCTTCCTTGGGAGGGAGCTGCACTAAATCATTATAGTTTTCTGTGGATAAAGCCTTACTGAGCCACTCTTTCCCATCTTACTACTCAGCATAGAGTATTAATGTCTGATTGAAACCATGGCATTTGGAAAAGGATTCTTCCTTTTCCATTGTATACTCTAACCTATTGGGGGGGGGGGGACGATCTCTCTCACACACACACACACACACACACAATATGGGTATTCTATGATGAAGGGGAGGATTTTGCTACTATTTTTTTGAGCCCTATGTCTGCGTTGGTTTCCCTATGCACTTGGTGCTGCTGTGCATTGAGTGTAAAAGGGAAGGCACTAAGTGTTTGAAACATGTAGCTGTCTGGTTGGATACTAGACACATTCACATATATGTGTATGTCCTGTTCCATTTGTTAATGGATGATCAGGAAGAGACAATGGAAGCCCCAAGAACTGGGAAGCAGAGACACGCTGGACATGTGAACACCACATGGGTGCAGCTGGGAAACGAAGGACAGGTGTGAACAGACTGCTCTTAGGGCTGTTGCTGTGAACGGAGGACAGATGGGGGAGAGACTGTCAAAATGGATCTCAGAGAATCAGGGCATGGCAAAGTCATTGCTTCCACCAATGTGGAGTCTGTCTTTAAGGTAACATTGGAAAGGTAAGCTTAAGACTTGCAGATGTTATATTCCAGATGACTAATAAATGGTATCTTGGTTTGAGAAGTCTACCTTACCTCACTAAAGATACCTGCTGTTTGCATTGCTGTCTAAAATGGAAAAGCCTCTCTCTCTCGAGTGATCTCAGTTGTTTAAGGAATCACCACTGGCTTTGGGAAGTTTGCCCAAACTGTTGTTCCAACTAGTACACTCAAGTATGTTGTATCTGCATCCTTCTTTAACTTAGAAAATGGGTATAGAAAGTAGATCCATATGATTTCTACAGTGTACATTTTTAGTCAATTTTTCTTCCTAAAATGCGAGGGATATTTTCTCAGATTTGTGAAAAACATTTTCGATTTTTGAACACTGTAAATTGTTTGGCTTGTAAATGACTTTCCTTGTAGGAAACTTCAAGTGATTTAATTTAGTCATATTCTACCGATAATGGGAAATTGACTTTAAATTTTTCTCTTCCACAAATTCCTACAAGTCTATACTAATTGAATGTGATTTGTAATAGTTTCTTAATGGCTTGAAAATATCTGCCTTTCCTCATGCTAGCACTGATACAATAGGTAATGTGTAGAGTAAATGTGTTGGTATATCTTACACAAGGCAGGTGAGGTAATTTTTATTGGAGAAGCTTGTGTTGGTGAAAGAGAGAAGCATTTGAGCTACATAGAGTTCTTCAGGTCTGGAAAAGTAATCAGTGTCATGGTTACATAAAAGGTGAAACAGATTGTTTAGCATAAGTGGTAAACGTTGTAAAAGACCATTTAAGATGAAGAGGGTATGTCTTCTTCTTTAAAGGTGATGCTATCCAAGATGAAATAGACATTATACCTAGTATATGTTTTACTTGGTGCTCTTCAAGCTGGCATTTTTTCTACACCATATTTTAATCCCTTCCTTCTTCCTGAGTCTACAAAGAAAGCTCAGTACTAGTGACCAGATGTCCCGATAAAATTGGGACTGTGCCGATATGTAACCCTTTGTCCCGTGTCCCGATCAATGTACGATCGGGACGCCATTTGTCCCAATATTCGGGTAAGGAGGCGAGCAGGAGGGAGGCGCTGACCCCGTGGGTGCTCCGGGGCTGGAGCACCCATGGGGGAAAAATTGCAGCCAAGCTCCCTCCTTCTCACCCCCTCCACCCCAGCGTGCCATGTCCCCGCTCCTCTCCCCCTCCATCACTTACCCCCGTCTAACAGCTGTTTGGCGGCGCTTAGGGCTTTCCAGGAGGGAGAGGGAGGAGTGGGGATGCGGCACGCTGAGGAGAGGAGGTGGAGAAGAGGCAGGGCAGGGGCGGGGACTTGGAGGAAGAGAGGGAAGAGGCGGGGTGGGCAAGCACCCACCTGGCAAAGGGGAAGTCGGCGCCATAGGGGTGAGTGGGGGTTGGGGGGTGAAGAGGTGAGCGGTGGGTGGGGGACTGAGGAGGGACGCAACAAGCCAGCAGCAGGCTGGGGGATGAGGAAGGGCATGGGGGCGAGCGAGGAGGGGGTGGGGCCTGGAGCAGGGTGGGGGCAAAGCCTGGGAGGAGCAGAGGTGGACTGTGGGCAGGGCTGATGGCATCCCAATGTGTCCTGATATTTTAGTCTGGTAATCTGGTCACCCTACTCAGTACAGCAGTGCTCTCAGTGATTTATGGGTATTCCTAGTATGTCCTGTTCATAGTCACCCTGATTGCAGGGGAGCCCTCCAGTGATTAATATGGACATGATGAAGGGAGGAAAGTCTCTCTCCCAGCTGATAGGATGGTGACATCTTCATTCCCCTAAACAATTTGTGCTGACTTGAAGTGTACGCATGTGGTCAGAGGAGCTGGGAACAAGTTCATAGTTCAGTGTCTATTCATCCTACCAAGAGAGCCATTTAGTCTCAATCCATAGTGGTGTGTGTTATGATGTGGATATCTTCCCACTTCACCCCTCGTGAGTTTTTCATAAGAGGGTGGGATCTGTTGTCATTTAGCAAGAACTTGTTTAAAACACTGAAAGCTTTTAAAATGCACAGCCAAAGTCCCATAAAAACATCCTCCAGAATCCTTTGGAAATTTCTTTTGGAAATTCTTGATCTACAAACAGAGCTAGCCTTGGATTTAGACTCTACAGCCCAGACCCTTGGAGGTATAGAGGCACCTAAATACCTTTAAGGAGCTGGTGCTACATCCTTGGCACAATCTCAAAAGATTGTGACAATCCTGTGTCAGCAGTTTCACATCCCCTGTCTGGGAGAAGGTTTGCTGCTAGGGTTGGCTTTTTAGTAAATAAAGTTTGTTAAATACACTAAACTTATTTGTGAATGTAGGGATCCCTTCATTCTTAGGGTGCAGTTAGGGAACACTATATTGGATATTAGTAGAGGGAGATCATGAATTTGAAAACTGCTACAAACAAAAATGGGCAGCCAACTTGGAGGTGACATTCATGTTTAACTACATTTTTCAGATGGTTACGCCTCTGCATCCAAGCCAAGTGGGAAGAGGCCATTCCTCTGGCTCTAAAAATGGCTACAGAACAAGGCCGGCTGAAGTTTACTTGTCCCTTGTTTAGGTAAGAATCACCTGCAGAATTACAAATGCACTTTTTTATTGTGGACACTCCTTTGAATTAGTTCCTGTTTGAACTAGAGCAGATCTCTTAGGAAAAAAAATCTAATCTGCATCCTTCTAAAGTGACTTACTATAGAGCTTCCATAGCATTCTGAACTTGAATATCTCTATGGCTGTTATGTAAAAAAAAATTTGATACAATATAGGAACTTCAACTTATCCCTCAAATATAAAGAATAATCTTCAATAATCTTCAATGTAAGAATAAAACTTCCAGGTAAAAATCCATATTTAAACTAGTTTCTTATTCATACTTATTTTGCAGGGACCTCTACAACTTTGAGAAGTCTCGTGATCAAGCTGTCAGCTCGTTCATGCAGCACAGAGTGTGCATGCACCCAGTGGCTGCAATGCTGGTGGCCAAAGATTTGAAAGTGGATCAAGGACAGACTGCTTAGTTTCTTTAAAAAGCTATGGCAAACTACTAAAACAGCACTGTAATTCTGCAAATCGTGTTAACATGCATGCTTGATTATTTACCTGAGTTTGTGTTCTGCTACTGTGGCAATAATTTGGCTTAAATAGATCTTCAAGAATGGTACCTTCTTTGAGTTTTGTCAAATCTGCAGTGAAAGTGTTCTTAAAATGAACAACATGTGCTGGGTCATCACCCAAGACTGCTAGAGCATGAAATATATGGCAGAATGCAGGTAAAACAGAGCAGGAGACACGTACAATTCTCACGCAAGGCGTTCAGTCACAAATTTATTTAACACATTATTTTTTTAGCGCTTGTGATCAGCAAGAAAACATGTCCTCTGGAATGGTGACCAAAGTATGAAGGGGCAAACATAAATTTAGCATATCTGGCATGTAAATACCTTGCAATGCCGGCTACAACAGTGCTGCACGAACATCTGTTCTCACTTTCAGGTGACATTGTAAATAAGAAGCGGGCACCATTATCTCCCATAAATGTAAACAAACTTGTTTGTCTTAGCAATTGTCTGAACAAGAAGTAGGACTGATTGGACTTGTAGGCTTTTGGGTTTTATATAGTTTTGTTTTTGAGTGTGGCTATGTAACAAAAAAAATCTACATTTTTAAGTTGCGCTTTCACGATAAAGAGATTGCACTACAGTACTTGTATGAGGTGAATTGAAAAATACTATTTCTGTTCATTTTATCAGTGCAAATATTTGTAATAAAAAATAATATAAAATGAGCACCATATACTTTGTATTCTGTGTTGTAATTGAAATCAGTATATTCTATTGTTTAACAGTGTCATTAAAACGGATTAATCACAATTTTTTTGAGTTAATCGCATGAGTTAACTGTCCTACTTAGTACAACTTTGAAACTTTACTATGCAGAAGAAAAACGCTACTTTCCATTAATTTTTTTAGTAGTTTGTTTAACACAGTACTGTACTGTATTTTATTTATTTATTTATTTATTTATTTATGGTGTTTGCTGCTGCCTGATTGTGTACTTCCAGTTCCAAATGAAGTGTGTGGTTGACTGGTCAATTCATAATTTTGGTGCTCATAACTGAGGTTCTACTGTACTTAAAGGAAAAGATGGCTTTTCTGAGATGCATTTGCTTTGTCAGTTGTGTGGGTTTGTTTACAAATTATGGATGGAATCAAGTCAACTTTTTTTGGCATAAGATTTCACACTTTAACACACAAGAAGTCCCAAGTCTTTAAATATTTGAAAAAAAATTTAAATCTTTGTATAAAACAGCAAACTTGTCTATGTTCTAATTGTAACTAGGCTTGTATAATTAACAGTTATAGACAGTACATATAACAATGTCACAATAAATAGTGTTTTCTTGCTGACTTCAAATAGTCTGATTTCTAAAGTAATCACTGAAAGAAAAGTTGAATGCACTTGGAGCTTGAAACCATGGTGTGTACATTTTTGTGTTCATACTTGGGTGACCTATACTGCTTTAGTATCTAAACAATTTGTTTCTCCTTCAACTCCATGATTTGTGATGATTTTATTAGTATGTGAGTCAACATGTGACACATTAATCAGCTTGTGACAGGAGATACAAGACACACGGTGCAGCAATTACATATGGTAATGGATGGAGCTGATTGAAATATTCTGACTAGCTTTCTTGTCAAAATTCAGTTTTTGAACAATCTGAAAATTCAGCACTAAACTCTCTGGTTTTTCAGCCACCTTCGCAGCTGACGTTAATTTTTTTTTAAAAAAAGCTTCAAAATGTTGAAAAAAGAATTAGAATTATGAGGTTTTTTTATTAGACAATTTTTAAAATGTTTTTAATCAACTCTAGCAATGACCATTTATACTGATACATGCTTCTAAAATGGAAGTTAGAGCACAGAATACCAAATTTCACTTTTCTGAGTTGAATGCTGAACAAATTACCAAACACCCTGCTTTTCCTCCCTTTCTCCCACCCAAAAAAGATAATGTACTTTGTAAACTTCTCATGAATCCTGCCATCTGTAGGTTGTTTTCTTCAAAGTGGATTTGCAAAGAATGGCACACCAATAGGCCATGAAAGATATGTTCTGCTTGTTTACAGTTTATGAAAATGGCCAAATAGTATGAATTGAAATCAGCTGAAATGCAGCTGCTGACAGGACCAGTAGAAATTAAGGAGCAGAAAAGACAAGTAACTCTTTTGTAGGAGGAGAAAACTGAATACCTAATAGAGTGTTTGGAAAGGAGTGAGAATGGCTACCGCTCTGCAAATAATTCTAGATTAAATACAGTTGAGAACAACTTAAAACTGACAGCTGAAAAGATCTTTCTCCGGTACATGCATCCAAAGTTTCAAACAGGGTTTTGATAGGTTCAGCGGAATACACTATCTTGTCCTAAAATGTTTGGATTTGGGTTGCTATTGTGCAATTGTCTAGCTATTAAATAATTTCAAAGAAAACTACTACAGCCAGAGGCATCATTTCCTAAATGTTCACACTTGCCCTGCTCTACTCTGAAGTTTGATTGGGAGCTAGAATCTGTTAGAGGCCAAGAGTGAATGAACAGCTTTTGGTATATCACAGTCTGGGCCAGAGAGAATGTGAGCACTGATGATAACCATGCCTTTTATCAGCTGCTTTGGAAAACCTTTTCTGCATGGAGACTCCAGCAAGGTTAAAAATGGTATCAAAATAAAGGGGAATTCCTGTAACAAGACCATACTAATTTAATATGATCTGTAATAGCCTCCTGGTGGCTTGAAAATATCTGCCTTTCTACAGACTAGCACTGATTCAATAGAGTAAATGTGTTGGTATATCTTACACAAGTTAGGTGAGGTAATATTTTATTGGATCAACTTCTGTTGGTGAAAGAGACAATCGTTTGCGCTTCACAGAGTTCTTCCGGTCTGGAAAAGTAATCAGTGTCATGGCTAAATACAGGGTGAAACAGATTGTTGAGAATAAATGGTAAACATGTTACCCACTTCTTCTTAAATGGTCCATTGCACGTCTTTCTCTTTAAAGATGAAGCGATCCACAATTCCTGTGGTGAAATGGACAAACTAGTATGTTTTACTTCGTGCTCTTCAAGCTGGCATTTTTCTACACCATATTTTAATCCCTTCCTGCTTACTAGGTCTACAAGAAAGCTCAGTACAGCAGTGCTCTCAGTGGTATATGGATACTCCTAGTATGTCCTGCTGTTCCCAGTCACTGCTGTTGTAGGGGAGCCCTCCAGCAATTGATATGGACATGATCAAGGGAGAAAGTCTCTCTCCCATCTGATGGATGGTGAAATCTTCATTCCCCAACATAATTTGTGCTGACTTGGAGTGTACGCGTGTGTACAGGGGAGCTGGGAACAAGTACCAGCCATGCATGGGCAATGATCATCAAATCCTAAGGTTTTGCTCTTTATTCAGGCAAAATCCTGTTGATGTTTGGACCCTGTGTAAGAAGGGTCACTTATACAATTCCAGAGCCAAGGGCTGCCCTGGCTGGGATTCAACCCCCAAGTGCTCAGTGCTGTTTAGCTTTAAAACTTGAAGATTTGGGCTGCAAGGAAATTTGGTGTCTAAAGAGGTAGCAGAGAAGCTGGCTTCACCATTTTTACGTTAAAATGTAACGTACTCTTATGGTATGTGCCAGTGTTAGTTTGGGGAGTTTGCTGTGAGTCCCCAGTAAATATTACTTTTTAAAGAGTGGTTGTAAGTGCTTGTACAAGGTGCCCGACAGCCAACACTGAGAACCAAAGTTCTTTTGTAGGATGCAATGTTCCATATTCTCAAAACTGCGCTAGCATGAAGCTCAGCAATGCCAGCTTCCTCTTGCTGTCCTGCCAATCGGCCTTATCCTACTCGGGAGAGACTGCATCTTTAGAGGTGAGTTCATAGTTCAGTGTTCATTCAGTCCTACTAAGAGGGCCATTTAGTGTCAGTCCATAGTGGTGTGTGTTATGATGTGGGTATCACTCCACTTTGTCCTGCGTGGGTTTTTCCATAAGAGGGTGGAATCTGTTGCCATTTAGCAAGAATTTGTTTAAAACACTGAAAGTTTTTAAAATGCACAACCAAAGCCCCATAAAAACATCCTCCAGAATCCTTTTGAAATATCTGTTTGGAAATTCTTGTTCTTCTTCGAGTGCTTGCTCATATTGATTCCAATTAGGTGTGTGCACGCCGCGTGCACGATCATCAGAAGATTTTTACCCTAGCAACACTCGGTGGGTTGGCTGAGGCGCCCCCTGGAGTGGTGCCCTTATGGCGCCGGATATATGCCCCTGCCGACTCAGCGCCCCCTCAGTTCCTTCTTACCGCCCGTGACGGTCGTTGGAACTGTGGAGAGCAGCATTGCTGACCTCCACATCCCTAGCTTTACTCGTTGTACTGTAGATAGTTCTTTAGTGTAGTTTTAACAGTTATAGTGTAGTTGTTAGTAAGTTTTTGTACATAGTGTATATACGTGGAGGAAACGGGGTTTATCCCCTTCCCTTCTCCCCGGTACCAGAGCTCATGCCCAGGTCTCCGGGTTTCAGCCTTGCTCGGACTGTCTCAAGCCGATGCCCACAGGAGACCCCCACGACTCCTGCTTGAAGTGACTGGGGGAAGCTCATCAACCCGATAAGTGCCGCATTTGCAAGGCTTTCAAGCCTCGGACAAAAAAGGAGCGGGCTTTCGTTTAAAACAGCTCCTAATGGAAGCGGCACTTAGCCCTGTGCCCTCGGCACTGCGTGCTGACCAGGCACCGTCGGTCCGAAGCGCGCCTCTGGCACCGGAACGACCCAGCACCAGCAAAGTCTCTTGGCACCGGACATCTCTGGCACCGGTACAGACGCGGCACCGTTCGCTATCTTCACGGCCCAAGAAGGAGCGCAAACCACCTGCTGCTCCTCTGCAGTTGCAAGCATCGCCTGGGGCCCCAGTGGAGCTGCGCGCTGTGCCAGACTGCTCTGCGAAGGTGCCAGCTCCGGCACTGTAGATTCTGGAGCCGCAAGTGCCGTTGAGTCCGGTGCATATAAGCTCCCTGGTGCACACCGTGGTTGAGCTGGGCCTGCCATTCACTGTGGAGAACTTCTCCACCGCTCGCGACCTGATCGCACTAACTGAGCCTGGACCGTCTCACCCTCCAGCACCGCCGGTGCGGACTGTTCCATCCAGAGGGAAGCCCGCCTTCATGCGGCCTCCATCGCAGAGCAAGACAGCTCGGCACCACTCTCAATCCCGGTTCAGGGCCCTGTCTCGGTCCTGCAGATGGTCCCGGTCTTGGCACCGCTCGCTGTCCCAGCACCAATCCCCATCTCGGCGCCGGTCGTACTCGCAGCACCGCTCCACCTCCCTAAGGTCTCCATCCCAGTATGATCGGTACCTATCCAGCTCCCGGCACTGGTCCCAGCACCGATCATCTCACAGCTGATCCCGGCACCGCCCGCACCGTCGGTCCTCATCGAGATCTAGATCGGCCTCCTGGCAGCATTATGACCGTCGGTCCCGGACCCAATCACGGTACCA